GGAACGGCCGAAGTAAAAAACACTTCCGCCATGCACACTCTCCCAGGATTTTTTTATTTAAAAAAAATTGTTTTCAACCATTGTTGTAGCTTATTCGAACTCATGAAAAAAAGGAAGAATGGGCTAATAATTGGTATCGTACACGGCCTGGGAAATATCGAAAGAGACTGGACGCCGAGGTTTGGATGAGACACCATACATTACATTCCCAAGGGTTTTATGTCAGTGGATTTTCCGACACGTAGCCGACTGAACGCGACATGCCCGTGTCATTCTGTGGCTTCATTTCGATAGAGTACCTTAAAAGGTATGGACGGGTATTTAAACTTAAAATCCTGCACTGGTTTTGGCAAACTCCCAATAATTGTCAGGCGCGCCTGCTACGGTGGGACCGGGCCTGACCGGATCTGGGACTTCCGTTGCTCCATCAAGCGTCTGGTCTGGGTCAATAGACAAATTAATTAATTGGAGATAATTTTGCGTATGAGAGGGCCGGAACAATGAAAAAAGAAGGCATTTTTGGACGCAAGTTTTCAGTAATATATGGCATTATCATGATGTGCTTCGTGGGATATTAAGAAACAACAATAAATATATCAGCTGTGAAATTTCCATTCTTTGTTGGGTAATATTGGTATGCATTTCCCCCCTTTTTTTTAAATTCGAGTCTGCCATCAAGGCTATGGTCATAATCTAAGGTAAAACTTTAAAGTGTCTTGAATAAATGGAAGTCGAATGTTCTGCAGTGGTCAGTTGCGTGCCCAAGGGGGAAAGGGGGGGGGGGGGGGGGTTATGGGTCCAAATTTACAGGTTCCATTCTCATTTTTTTTCATTTGGTCACAAATACGGGGTGTGTTATCAGTTTTCATANTTAGGTTTCATATGTTCCCCCCCCCCCCCCCCGTTAGGGTGGGTAATCAATGTTTCATATGGCAACCCTCCCATTCGGATTTCCTGGGCACGCTACTGGCAGGAGTGATACTGATATTCTACTGACTTTAACTTTCTTCCTTCCACTGAAATTAGTGAAGAAATGAATAATTCAAATGTTGTGTTTCACTGAGAAAATAGTGCCTTCTGTGAAAATTTGAAAGGCTATGACTTTTGAATTGTTGGTTCAATTAGGCTAAAACCTGAAATGCGTGGGTTTTGCCCAAACTCAACAATTCCCTGGGATATAAAGTAATAACTGAATTACTTCGAACCGCATCGCTCCTTGGGAATGACCTTGTTATTAAACCACCCTGGCAGAGACTCGGAAACAAAATATGGAATTCCCCTAATCCAGATGATCCCGACGGCTCCAGATGATCCCGACGGACCCGATGCCCTGGCAGATGATGGCCCACAACCACTTTCTCCTTGGGAATTCCATCTCCTTCGTAGAAATGTCCATGGTCGTTTTGCCGAGGAGTTTTAGAAACCTCTCGTAGACTTCCATCCAGGATTAATTTGCATACAAGGATTATGCAATGAGTCATTTATGATCAAAATTGACTCGTTCCATGTTCTTTGTATGCATTTTTTAAATTAAATAATACCTATCGAGCCAGGGGTGTCGCACCCCACAGGGTGCCCCATAAGTCCCAATCGGTTATGACAAAAATGTTGAAAAAAATCCGCCAAGGCGTCGAAATGGATGGTTTGAATGCGCATGCGCTTCCAGGTACCCTCCTCCTCGCCCCTAACAAATATCCGTGAGTCGAGTGAATGTGGGGACGGATACAAGTCCATTCCCGGTCGAAGAACGTTTGATTGCAAGTGTTTCGGTCCATGAAAGAAGAAATACGAGTATGACATTTAATCGGGCGAAATTTTTTTCGAGTCCCCTACCTTGGCCCGCAAGTAGCTCCGATTTGATGGAGCATGATGGAGCTCACATTGACGTAACCGATTGATAAGGAACGAATATTTTTCGAGATGGCTGTATTTCGTACTTTAAATAATCAATAAATATTTCTAAACTTATTACAGAATTATTACTTTTTATTTTTTTATTTTTATTTTTTGCTTTAATCATAACCGATTGGGACTTATGGGCCACCCTGTAGAAGCGGCCCTTCAGAAGAGGTTTCCTGCCCGCTCCATGTACCGGTATGTACTAATACTAGTAGTGCTTTTCGAATGCGCCAGTAGCATTGTGGACTTCCAGCCTTCACGAACTGCTCTCTTGAGAGGCTAATAATTCTCCCAACACCCACGGCACCCTTGCCAGCTTCTAGCGGCACCCCTGGGTGCCGTGGCACACAGATTGAGAACCGCTGCTCTAACCCATGTGGACAAGTTTCATTTCACATCAGTACCGTTTGAGGACTGGTAACATATATTAATATGTTGGTAGACGACATACATCGTTCCGTAAGTCCATTCTTGAGGACATATTTGATTCTCATCAAGCATCGTTATTGATGGAAATAGCGGAAATAGAGAGTAAGGGCCTCTCTCGGATCAAAAAATTACCATCAAGCCGGATCTGGATTATTTCCAGAATTGAACACCTCGGAATTCACATCATTATTCGTCGGTATCGTGCGCACCATCGAGTTCGTCTGGTTTGCAGGACGAAGTCACCGATTGGCAGAAGCCGTGAGTCTCTCTTGGGAGTTCGAAGACATATCACGTTTCCAGCGAATTTCATCCTGAGGATCTTACCAGGCCGGGAAAACGAAGGAGCATTTAAATCGAGTCGAGTCACAGAAATTGAGTCGAAACGGTGCAAGTCTTACTCTTTCTCGACCGCTCTGAACGGGAATCCCGTCTCGCCGTCGGCTGCTGGCTTCTTCCACTGCGACCGGGGGATGCTCGTCGTCGTGAGTTCTCGCTCCGATCCTCTCTCTTGCGTCTGTCTGATCTTTCATCGAGAGGACATGCCTCGTGAATTCGGCAGGCCCTCCATGCAGTCATCGCCCATCTCGTCGTCATGGTCCGGTTCAAAGGTGAACCGAAACCGGTCGACCCTCGAGCTTGAAATGCTTGTATTATATGAATGCTGCAACCTACACTCGAACGGAACCCACACGTCCAGGAGACGCCTTTCTACATTTGAAAAGCATCAGATTGGCAACGAACCTGGATTATATCATTTACAGAGAATGAAGACGCTTACGTTGGCTGCTCCAGCTTTCCTTGTGATCATGTTCATTGGTTTTTCCTTCCCTTTTCGAAACGGCTTTTGGCATTCGATACGCGTACGGATTTCAGCGCAGAACGTTCCGTTTCAGAGAAACGGAATGGTTTCGGTTTCTTCCAGCAAAAATTTTCACAAAAGTCAACCTGCATGAAGCAGTCCTTTCCTTAAAATTCCCTGCTGAACTTTTGGTTTCACGCCTAAGAGAAACAATGGTAGCTTTCTGATGGGCAATAGAAACTCTCCTCCCGTTTGCCTCATTTTCCAGGTGCGAAGTTGCTCAAGTGGCACTGGAATATTTCATGAATGTTCAATGATCGTTTCATTGAAGGTATTGCCAACGTTCCATGAACATCTTTTGTAACGTTACTTGACCATTTAAATGTCGGGAAATTATTTATCAATTAAACAGTTCGTATTATGTTTTCCCTGAACACTCCTCAAGAACGTGAATTGAATTTTTCCAATCATCACCGAACGGATGAAATTCCTTTCTCTTTCAGGATTCATCCAAGAAACAACCAACATCTTAAAAAGCAATCTTTTCATCGTTTATGGGCCAGAGCCCTTCAAGTAGTTGAACTGTCTGGAGGCGAATACTACCTTCTCTCGTATAGGAAGACAGTATGCCCGTCTCATCGTGCGAATTCAGAGCCTTTCAGAGGATAAAAACTCTCCCTGCCCCGGGATTACATATCGTTGTAGAATCAGAAAATGTAAACTTCCATCTCCACTCAACGAGTTACACACATCCCACATTTGAGACAAAGTCATACACTATCGCGCTTTTTAAATGTTTTATTTATATTTATTTTTTTTATTTTTAAAGAATAGGAGCCAATGGGGGGACTGGCCCCTCTCCCTGATGGTGGGCACATCAGGGGTCCCGCCAGTCCCTGTGAAACCCTCCTGCGAGCGGGTTGGCAGGTGCAAGACCCTCTCGAAGCTGCTTTAGACAATGGGAATGGTCCCCATTGTCCCGGTCGGAGACCGAGGTTTCTTCCATCTGTTTTACAGATCACTCATTAGTTAGGACAGTTGCAATAGCAGCCTAGAAAAAGATGAGACCTCTTCGTTTAACTTTCAAAGAATGAAAGCACTTTGGGGGCTATTTTAGACACGCTTTTAAATATTATTAAATCCTATCCATTTAGTAATAACATTTATATAAGTTTTCGGTACCCATCATGTGCCCCGTGAGCTACTTGGGATTGACAGGTACCAGCCGTTAAGAAAACATTATCAGGCCCTACACCATCGCCTAAATGGAGTGACTTTGAAATTTGAACCGTCCTCCCTTCATCCTCAGAGCTAGAGTTATCCGGGGACTCGTTGGACTAAGGTATCCCTTCAGACCGATTTGTTGAAGAATTTAAATGTGGTCCCCTGCGGTGCCAGTGCAGAAAGATCAGGCACCGTGTGGAAGATATGGGAGACGAATCGAAGCTGCATAAAGTTTTGACTCGCTTTTGCTGCTACTGTGGCGTCATCTAGCTGCAATTGAGCGAACCTTCGTTTGTTCAAGCCACTGCCGGATGGATAGCACAGACAACGTCCGTTTAACATTCAACGACTGTCCAAAAGCGTCATGTATTGGTGATGAAACGGAACCTCAACCGACAGCCCAAAAGCTGCTCATGCGTAGACGTTGGACGTCCCAAAAGCTTTTTCAGCACATGTTAAATGTTCTTATGTTACTTGGATGGGCTTTCTACAGGAGCTCCAACGAAGAAATACGAACGATCGAATTTCGGAATATCGATGTATGGATATTGCTCTACAGCGTATCAGAAAAAAACTGGCATTTTTTAAAAACCAATTCCATTAAATTGATTAAACTCAGCACATTAAATAGATCAGCAACATTGAGTTCATCTTGAAGCAATTTTATTAAAAACGGGTTGCACGTCAAACAAGTTTTTTCAAGAGGATTTGAGCACCCTTTGAAGTCTGCTGACGGAGCTTGGGTTTCAATGGAATCAACTTCTTTCTAGCCTTCTCCTCTATGCTTTTCACTCCACTTTCAAGCAAGCTGAAAGAAAAAACCCAAAACACAGTTGCAAGATTTTGAAGTTTTTTGTGCCCTATGTACACACAAAAAAAATTCTCAAAAGGACTTCCCAGTCCACTACATGAATTCAATCAGTAGTTATTATTATCCTCCCAAATAAGCCATACATGTAAATCAGAGACACATCGGATTTTGCAGAATGCCAATCTAGTGCATCTACGAAATTAGATAAATAAAACAAGTTTGGGAAGAACAGTAGGATGTCTGTCAATGCTGTTTTTCATGATTGTACCAATGCTATTACAATCACATTATCCAACAAAATATGTGGCCAGGCAAAATGCATGATAGGTGCTACACTATGATCCTAGGAAAAGAGAAGAGAGGTAGTTTTCTTCCGCAGATGAACATTTTGCACCTGCCAGTGAAAAGTAGTCATATGTGAGACTGGACAGGAAGTCTGCAGAAAGGAAGGTTAAGCTCTATTAGACTCACGCAATGAGGATGAAAGCCCCACGGTTGCATGTGATCCATTGCTCAAGATTCTCAGAGGTCACAGCATCCAGAAGATAGTCAGAGAAGTGAACTGGAAGATAAAAAAGTAACAAATTAATGTCTGTCTCAAACAATCTAGGAAATAAACAAATTGTAGAAAGTGAGTGGACCAAGTGCTGGGAACACACATGGTAGTTTGCAGTGGAACAATGAAAAGTGGATGAGAAATTGCTGACAGAAAATGAAGGAGATGATGGTGAATGATGAGCATGATGTTTATCTTTGGAATTGACATGAAAGCACTACTTTCCATTCATTTATATGATCATTGAAGGCGATGATATGCTGCACTCTTGTTCAAAGCCAAGAAAAATGCAAACCTGCAGTTTTTTTTTACTCTGTCTCTGTAATGCATTGACAAATTTTGAATCTGAAAAAACATCAACAAATTCATAGGATATATGCATTTATGATGAGAGTAAGGAACAAGCAAAAACCAAGGGGAAAATGTATTTTTTTTTATCTGTCAATTTCTTAGATTAACTGAAATGGAAAATAATATTGTATGTGCATGTACAGCTGGGGTTGAACAAATTCAACTGCATATCAAACTCATCATGAAAGCATCTTTATCCCTGAGGCATTTGTGGACTTAGGTAAAGGAGTGAATTAGTAAAGGAATATCTTTACATTTTCATTTGCTTAAGATTTCCCAATAAATGGGATGGGCTAAGAATGTAAAATATCAGCCACCAGGCTTTTTGTCATTGATATGGATATTGATAAAAGGTGGGGATGCGACTAAGTATTTTTCAAATGAGTATGAGAACCCTGGCTAACAGGTAGGCAGAATTAATCATCTTAAAGAATTTCCAACAGGAAAAAGCAGGATAGAAATCAATTCATGGCTAATTTCCTAATTTTCACCACTATATCTACACCAAAGGACCACACTGGAAAACCCTTGTGCTATGATCACGTTATTCACATTAGAACAGGGAAATATATACGAGACAACATACAACTATGCATAATAAAGGACAAATGTGAGAGGTAATACAGGCAGCTAATCCTACAAGGATTACCAGTCAATCCAGATAATTCATGTAATTATATGGTGGACTACAGGCACCACCCAATGTGGATGATGCTTATAGTCCACCTACCTAGGTAGTTACCCTTGCCAAGTCATGAGCTGCCTCACTAAACCATTTGCTTATTCCTGGAATTTGTTTTTCAGTGAACACTTATTGTGTTGTGGTTTTTCATTTTTACATTAGGACATGAGTAATGCACTAATGGCTTCTAGGAATAGTTGAAGGCAGACCATCAACAAAAACTGTCTTGGAAAATCAGAGAAAGCACTGGATTTTAACTGAAATTTAACACTGGAAGGAGCAGTAACATTAGTTGATGGTGAAAATGCTGAATAAATTGGAAATTACATTCCCAAGTGAGCCTAGCATCATTTCTCACAAAGTAAAACATTTGATACGTTATGCTGCACTCCTGCATCAAAGCCAACTATATACTATCGTTCTTCTTGAGGCAACACAGGGTAAGTGCTTTAAATAAAAGTAATGGGTTCTGACTTGCAATTGCCTGGCAAATCTCAGAGAACAGAATATCTCCCTTCACAATTAGGAAAACTGCTAAGAGGTTTCTTTGCAATGGGAAAAAGAGACTAAGAACCACAATGAAAGAAGAATCACAGAAAAGCTTACCTTTTCTTTGTTTATCAGTTACAATGAGCTTCTTGAGCATGAGATGTGTTGCTGAACGTTCCACAATGTGTTTCACTTCCCCTGGGACCAAGGGTTCCTTGATCTTTTCTGCTAGAAGCTGGAATGCCTCCTGGGACCCTTCAACATCTGAGAAGCCATTACGCAATGAGAAACTCCATATAATAAATAACAAGAACTAATTAACAATCATTCACACTCAAAATTTGACAATACTGTACTCTTTTACATATTGATTGATTTCTTGATGTGATCAGCTAAAACTGAGTTTCATGGATAAGAATAAAGTATTTTTTACTTTGAAATTCAAATAAAAGCTTTTCATGGCATAAATATCAACTCCTCAGAATCTAGACAGTTCAGCCTCAAAACTCACACAAATCTCCACAATCAATCTCCACAGCAAAGGGCAAATAGGACATGGTGTGTAAAACATTGCTATTTGAAAATGCCATATGAAAGAGGTTGTCCTAATAATCTTAAATTATTTAGGATCATAACCATAGAGAAAAAAGTTAAAATTGTATGTACATTAAGTAATAACAAGCATTAAGTAATTATGGCTGCAGAGCAACTATAGTTGCAGCAAAAAGACCTTACAATTCACTAGTAGCGGCAGAAAATATGTAATCTGGTACCCAATTTTAGAATAAATAAAAGAAATATATCCTGGAATTCTGAATTTTCACACGTGAAAGTAGCCAGTACATTCAGTGATTACTATTCCAAACCCTAATTATTTGCAAATCCCTCAAGGAAATCTTTTCCACAAGGCAATACTGAACTTCGTTCCTAGATGTATTCTTCATTTTTCCTGTTTTATCCCACTTTCCCATGCTCTCTTCCCAACAAGTAGTGACATTCAGATGGATTGAGGGGTTTCCTAATTCTTGACACTTACCAAGGCACTTCTCGAGTACAGTATTGAAGACAAGAGTTGCACCATTATCACTGAGATAATCCTCAGGGCTCCCAAGAACTTCCCGCAGGAAGGATTTTGATGCTGCTGCCAACAGCTCGGCTTGACGTAATTCAGGGTGCTTCTTGCTGGAAATAAATATTTAAAATAAAAATAGTTCAAATGGTGATCTTGTTTCCCCCAAACACCCTTGCCTTATTCAGTTCAAGTTAAAACTATCTCTGTGAAAGTACACTGCTCCATGCAAATAATGTCCTAGAGCAAAATAAGCTTCCTTGATGAGATCACAGACAAAAACATACTCCTAGTAGTCCACATTGCAGAACAACATGATGGAGAGAGGCTGACCTGTGAGTGTTGGAATCTCCCTGGGCAAGGAGCTTGATGTACTCGGGATGAAGGTGCCTCGGATCCCTTGGGCAGAGGACATACAAAATTACTTTCCTCCCATATTTGTGGAATGCCAACTCCTTAAAGGAACTCAATATCTCTCCCAAGATGATCTACCAAGGAATAAAGGCATAGAGGACATGTTAGTCACAAGGTAAAGTACAATGTGCAAATTGACAGCTAATGAATTCTTCATCAGGATTGATCGGAAGTAACACTGGGTGACCAACCTAGCTAAGAAATACAACATTTCCTTCCACTTTGCTAGGAGGGTTAGATATATTTGTTCTTACAATAATGATTACTTATGTAGCATAATTATTATCATTTAGGCTGGCTGATGCCATGTACATGGGCTGAACAGTGGTCCCATTTCATTCTCACCTGAAGTGATGCCATTAGGCTCACATGGCCACTCAAGGGATGCAATACCCATTGAACTACCTTCATCATTAAAGCACAATCAATAATCATCTTTATAACACCACATATAATGTGGTGTATCACAGAAGTCTCTATCCCAGACAAAGGGAAGTCATACTGTTCCTATAAATATTATAATTTAATTACTCTGCAAATGCAGATGAAAATGCATGTACTTCTTTATGGAACCTCTTTAAAGAGTTTTTTCCACACATATTCTGATCCTTCCTACTTAGTTACTTCCTACAACCTGACAATAGTCATGGGTTTATCACAGTGGTGAACAGCCTATGGCTTACCAAAAACTAAGATATTAAAGACTACAGGAGGTAGGCAACATCATTACTATTGGAGGGGGAATCACAAGCACATCCTATCTGAAAATGGCTAACATTAAACTCCTGCTCTAAAGGTGCTAGTATGGCAGTAGCATGTGTATTGCCAAGAGAGTCCTTTTGCTGGACATCCATTCTCCACTCATTTTACTAAAACTGGAAAAGTTTTGTACACAATGGACTCATACATCATGTCCAAAGTAGTACATTCCATTCCTCCACTTCTACATGGCAATGTGGGCAATTCCACCCACTGTGGCAGGTAACAATTTACCTTTAAACAAACAGACAGCTTCATTATTGAACACCTAAAAATGGTTTCTTGCATTTCCATCAACAACTGTCAAATGACCGGGCAGCCTATGTCTCCATGGTTGCAACAATTTTGCCATTTCTACAGCTGCATTCTACCAGAGAATAGTGGTGTTACTCTTACTCCTTTGGAACTTATCACAGTTTATGGTTAACTCTGCAGTATTAACCCCCTCGTTTTCACTCAGCATAGAATACTCAACACGAAGCTAAATCCAGGCTTCACATTCTGACATTTAAAAAATGCATCTCAGCCATTCCTTTCTCACCCGAGTAACAACAATGGTGTCATCTATGCAGTCAAAGGCAGCAAGTATGGCCTTGTACCCATTCTCATCCATGCAGATCTTTGGCACATGGGTCTTCCAGCTTTTCACAATCACTTTTCGATCCTGAAACAACACGAGATGATGAGCAGAAGGTACTCTAAATTCATGGCACTTTTTATTACTAGGGCTATCAATAGGAAAGTGATGGCAATTTATTCAAAAATATAAGATAAATAAACGGATACATTGTCACAATTCCTAAAGGATCTACAGAGAGGAAGGTAATAAATTTCAAACTGCAAACGATGGACAATTTCTAAAGAAGTAGCAAAAACTGAAAGAAAGCATGTATTTTTTCTGTGACTTAGGCATCAGAATGACATCCTTTAATTTGAGATGCATATAATTCAATATTTACAACAGATATCTATATCAGTTCAATAATAAAAACCTCTGAAATGGATGTCTGGAACATTCCAGGCTCCATTCTATTCCAGATTCATATAATCGTTGTCTAGACTTCTTATCTATTCAGAAACAAAAGGGTTTGCAAACCTTGGCATTGCCTTTCCATATGCAATGCATGGCCACATGGGTCCCATCACGTGTGTGAAGACACTGAGCCAGATGCTCCCGAATGGACTCAATCAGCTCCTTCATGTCTGCCTCACTGCAGAAGTTGACATATTCGAAGAGCAGACGGTGAACAAGGCTGTGTTGCATGAGTCCCCTTTAGAAAGAAACAAATGTCATGGCATCTGTCAGCAAAACAAAGCAGAGTCTTGATTTGAAAAAAGCCCTACTTACTTATCCACCAGAGGCATCAAATTCTCTTTGAAATACTCCAGGGATGATTCACGTTTCTCAGGGTGGGTTTCAAGGAACTTTGAAAAACTTGTGACAGACGTGTCCTTGAAGACCTTGAAATGGGGGTCATAAAACTCCTGCAGCAAACAACCCCTCTGGGAGGCATTTGACCATTCATTGAATGCACTCTCCACAACAGATGATGCCACCTGCAAATGAAGATTCCTCAGTCGGATTATACCTGTAACCAAGATCCAACCCCCTGAATTTCAGTTGAAAATATCTTAAAGAAATATCTTCATGCAAAAGTCTCATATTCTACAGTTGACATTTTACTCAAGAAGATGCTATACTAAAATGAAAAATTAGACATACAAAGGTCAGTGATTTTGCACAAAAACTGCACAAATGTACAATCATGACATTGTATGTAACTTTCAGGTACAAAAATGCAATCCTGAATACTTAATTGGCAACATATATCATGGAAGATTACACATGCTGTGAAATGGTAAAAAAAATTACTACCTCCATTTACAGGGCATCAAAGAGCTATGATTGCTTTTGTGTGTAGGAGTGAAAGTACTTGATATCCCTCAAAGACTGTTTGGTGTTTATGGTAAGACATGTTTGTCCCAGGGATGGGTAGATAAATGATGCAATATATTTTGTGACAGACACCTTCATGTAGGAGACAAACCCGGCCTTTCTGCAAAATATTTTTTTAGTTCCATATGGATAGAGTGAATATTCCAGTGCCCATCTTCTTGGAAGTGGGAGAGTGGTTGCATTGAAGACACTTCTTCCAACCATAAATTCAAAAAACTACAATATTCAATGAAAGTGAAAAAGGGCTCATGACCACAAAACCAAACATACTTTTCAAGGGCATATTTTGCAGATAAACCACTATTTCTTTCAGTCCTTCCATTGTCCAAGATTGCCTCCATTTTGTATGTATAAACATATATATAAGAGTGCCTGACGAAAGACCAGAAGGCCTGCAAGGGCCTTTGCCTTAAATATCTGAAGCATGGCCATGCAGAAAAGGAAAGCTTATTGGCCAGAATAGTGGCACATGATGAAACCTGGTGTCATCATTTTGATGATGACACCCTACAAAGAGGGCATTGAGGGACCAGCAATACCACTAAGATAATGATGTATTAGAGGCAATGAACAGGCAGTGCCACCAGATGGAAATGTCATTCTATGATAGTAACATTTAAAAAAAAATCAGTTTGAGGAGTGGGATATGGTGTTTCATTTTCCTGCAGAAACTACTTTCAATAAATGGTGCAAGCACAGCTAATAGAAAATAATTGCTTTTTTTTACTTGACTGACCCTAGTATTTTATTCAAATATCATATATTAAAAAATATATAAAAGCAATATGAACTACTTTCCGCATCCCTGTTGATAGGATCTATGTCACCCTTCACTCAAATTTTGAGAAAAGTAGTAAGGATAACTTTAAATTGGAATATTTATTTGCAAAATTTGAAGGGCTATTGAAGACACTCTTTTATAACACATATTCATTAGGCATTAAGAAGGATCCTGTCAACTACCATATGCTCACCTTATGCCGCATGAGCTCTGGTACGTGCCCTCTGAAGGAGTCCACAACAAATTCTCTTTGCTGCTTTGACCCATATTTCAAGAGTTTAAGGACAAAGAAGTGAGCATAGACACTGCTGCACAGCTCCACTATCTTGCTCTTCAATTCCTCAAACAGTGCTGCTCGAACTTCTATGTCACCAAACTGCATCATGCTCTCAACGACACGAGACATATCTGGAGCCATCACCAGCTATCCAGAAGGAATTAGCATAATAACATAGATTGAGATGAAAACTCAGCAGATTCTGTTATATACCTATGCAAGAAAAAAAACACATTTACATATTCATCAGCAAGCACACACTCTGCCTAATAAAAGGTATCCCTCTCTTGCTATAGTAAAAAACCTCAGTTGAGGTAAGTAAATATGCTTGGTAGAAGAAAACACTTAATTTTCAGTCCTGTTGAGGTAACAGGGAGAGAAATTTTGAATATTCTGTACATATTATTATCTACTAGTTTTCACATGCTTGAGAAGGTATGCAGACATAAAATTCTAGTCAGACATCTAACCAAAGAAAAAGTGGGATCAAAACAAACATGACTAAGTATTCCTTGACTGCATACAGGGATAACATGTATTTCTTGGGAGTCAAATATTCACTGATGAAAGCTTGTTACATGCAGGCCATATACCACTCTTAAAAAATAAGCTATGCTATTTTACCTATGACATACCAGGAAGTTGTAAAAAAAAAACCTGGAAAAAAATACTTTGACATTGAGATGGAACAGGAACTCACTTTTGCAACTTTTCCCCGTACAATGCGATACAGGTCCTTGCAGATTTCAACCTTCCTCTCTGGCTGGCAGTCCTCACGACGTAGTTCCTCCCATGATTGTTTTGCCTTCACACTCACCTGTAGGACCTTGTCATCCTCCAGCCTTTTTTCAAGCTTCTTCTTCCGGATCTCCTTGTAAGCTTTCCAGTACTCTGGACCTTTCTTCATGGAGAGCAGCTTCTTCAACTTCAATCGTGCTATTAGGAGGTAAATGTAAAGTATGAACCTTCATGACTCTTTGCATGTGAGATTCACTCAAAATGAAATTTTTTTAAATTGATTTCAAAACTACAGATGAGAGTACATGGGTAGAAAGATGTTAGGTCTTCCACAGCAAGAAATAGTAGGGCTAACAAATACTTTATTTATATATTTCAGTTTCTCTGTAGTTTTAATAGTATCTCCAGTAAACTGAAACTAAAGACAGCTTCATTATGATGGCGCTCACTCTCCTAATTCATTACTTTACCTCTCGTACAGTTAAAAATCATAATCCACATATACAATATCACACTAACATGAAACTTTTATCATATGATAGACTTTTAACTACTTGAAATAGGCAAAGGCAAATCTAGGCCTGGCCTCAACCTTACCTTCTTTTGAAGACTTTGGCTTGACCTCCTTCTGATTGATATCCCGCAAGGGACGTTTCTTGGGATGGCTGGGTTTGGATGAATCATTTCCTTTTTTCTTTGTGAAGCGCTTTTTTGGATTCAACTTTGAACCCTTCCCAGCATCATGTGACTGTGCACCACTGCCACTTTTTTGCCATTTTCTCACCTTCTTTTTTGACTGGACCTTCTTAAAATGGTCACGATGGCTAGTCTTTTTTATTTCTTGCCTTCTTTGTTTCTGCTCTGGAGCAGGCATCTTCTAAGCTCAATATCTATCAAACATAATCATCAATCATTGGACTTATGTACTCATGCATCAGTTGGCAAATCTGCAAACACAGCCTAAGCATACTGATAACTTGTAAATTTGGGTCTGGACCTTAACCACCACTTGCAATTTCAATGAACAGACAGCCTATTCTCAGATCAGAACTGTGAACTTTTCTAGCACGAGCTCTTTGTTCCACAGGTTGAACAATCAAAAGCTATATATTTTTTTGTAAATTGGAATTTGCATCAAGTTCATCATGTGTGCAATAGGCCTAGGGTAACTTTCTGGGGAGATGTTCCCTATGGAACTACCTTTTCTAGTAGAGATTTATATATTGGCATGGCATCTCTACATACCTATGCATGCCATATCATACTCCAGCTCCAGCCTACTTAAGTATGTGATGTCAAGGAAAAATGTACATCAGCCCTAAATCTGCATAAGCTTCTCGTGTGACCCTGCTCCATGGTATTCTCTGGCAAACATTCCACTTCCTCATATCCTTGAACAATTACATACAGCCTAGAAACAGTGCATAGCCATGGTGGCAAAGGGAAACCTCCCAGAATATGTGATAAGAAAAAAAACAAAGAGCCATAGAGCTTCCATAGCAGTTACTTTTCAAATACAACAAATTCTAAGATTCTAAGAAATGGTCCCCATTGACCTAAAAGTTCCATCCCTCAGGCCTTGGCACACTCAGGCAAATTGGGGAGTTAGATATCATTGTGGTGTTAAATATAATTGAGGTGCTTCCATATACATCCTCCCACTTTCAGTCTTACCTCCCCATGATGCAGGCATCAAAGTTATAAACTTCAACAAACATAGGAAACTTAGCAAATAAGCATAAGGCCATGAATGCTTCTGTACATTAGTGAACCAATTGGAAGTGAAAACTGCCATTCAACATCACAGGAACTGTCAAACTATACTCTGCAATAGCTCTGCATAAAGCGTAAAATAATTGATAAAGTACAAGACAGAAAGCGTGACCTTATGGATTCTGTTATCGGCACTTCATGATATCCCCAACACACGACCAGATTGTGCACAGGAGAAGGCATCTGATGCATACTGCTGTTGCAAGAGGGGAAACTAGCTCACAATCAGCAGATTAGGGGTTTTGGATGTCTTTCGGCATAGACATGGATATCAGTGGAAAGAGGCTTTGACCTCAAAATAAACTCTCAATTCACTGCATCAATAGGCCTAACCTTTTATTGGCCATAAATTACAGCTGTTGATGGTTCCAAGATTGACAAAACTCCTCAGCCCAAGATGGACCTCACGAGAAAGCCTGTTATCCTCTACCCATTACCTAGGAATATTATAGGCCTAATTAAACACCTGATTTCATAATAAAACAGGCATCGAATTGAACTATGCATAAAGCTGAAGCTTATACATACACCGAAACTCCTTACAAACTCTTTCCTAATAGATCTAACTTTACAGTATACTTAACTTCAAAAGGCAGGTTACCTGCATGCTTACGCCTTCTAAATCACTTAACGTACTTGCACAGAAAGGATTCTATCGGCGTAATGCCATGGCTATGGGGAGCCAACTACTGGGCTATGTAGGCCTTACACACGACGGGCCAGACCTTCATTCCAAAAGCGAAACGTTCAAGTCCATCGCAATATTCATCCCGTCAATTCGTGTAGGCCTTGACCTAGCATGCAATTCCAGAAACATTGCAACTAATCAGTGATTATCCTATACGTGGGCTAACCCTTGGAGGGGATAATTCAGCTAGATGTACGAAGAGAGGTTGCAATAAACCGATCAGCTTGTACGCCATCCCGGAGACCGGGTCACATGGCATACTAAACACGCTGTCCGTGCGAGGCGCCATACTCATTCGCGCATTCGCTATGCCACGTCCCTTCCTTTTCCAAGCAAGTTGAGGAGTCAGGAGGCACTTCTGCCTGTATTGATATCCTCAGTGACGTTCCAGAGCTGATATACATCTGGAAACAAATACAGTTGCCGATCTACTGTCTAATGACTTACAATTTAATTCTTCCTTTTTTTTTGTCTCATTCCTAGAAGGAAAAGTATCACCCGTACGGACCAGTCCTTTGAGTGCGTCAGTGGCGGCTCGTGGACGAATAATCTGGGGAGACCAGCTCATGATCTGTATAATGAACAGTAATTCATCGTAGTCTTAATGGGAGCATGAAGCAGAAAGGCATACTAAGGTCAGTCGCTGAACGAGGAATCGTTTCGTGTTCAAAGTGTATATTGTATCAAAATCTGGCATAAGCTGAGCAGAAATTGAAACTTCCATCGAACACTTGAGTGGGAAGAGGTGCCCGAGGGTAAAAGTAATGATCTGACGACTTTCTCCCCTCGCGAGTTTCACAACTGATGAACAATACCGCATCGAGGACACCGAGCGAATATCATAATTATGTATGACATATTGTGGCCTTTTAATCCATGCCAACTGCGAAGACATATATTGGAAAGCGAAATTGGCTGACCGAAAAGCACTCTACTCGAGGCAAAGGAGCCTAAAGACATGCTCGTTCTTGCTCTCTGCCACCCGCGCATGCGCAATGCAGATGATGAGGTCTGTGCAGCCGGTGAGGTCGGCCTCCCAACTCTCCTATATCGTGTTGCCAGTGCTATGTCCAATTGCAAAACCGTGAATTCCGCAACGACTTCGGACCCCAACTATTTGTTTCCTTGACGGCGTTCGTGTGCACAGGGTCGTGTTGTGTTATGCCTTCGATGAAACTTGAGGAAAAGACGAATCGGTCGACTCGAAGCACAGAAGGAAATCTCTCATCAGAATGGCGAGAGTTAATTTTTGTCTGAAGTCGCACCACTTTTCTCGGAATTCCGCAACCCATACTTGTTCCATGCCCCCTCGCCCTTCAAGTGCGAAATTACTCGTCTCCGGGCTCTATAGCAATCATGTTTGATAATAGTTCTTCCCATGATTTACCAGGAGTTCAGGTGTAAAATACAAAACAGCATCTTAACCGAAGAAAGCGAAGGACGTCTCCAAGATTCTCCATGACAAGTAAAGGGTGTCTTTTCTCTTTTCTTTCGTTTCTTTTGACGATGGATCTTTGGGGGCCTCAAAATTATCCTGGTGATATTATTTTATTTCAAGAGAGTGAAATTATGAAACCCTTGATCTTTCCGACGCCACGATTTCCACGCCAGCCAACCCTGCCAGACTTTGTGGCGTTAATTGCTGCATCGTGATCTTCCTGCAAATACTTATTGCTTGTCCTATCCTTTTTGCCGATTGTTATTGGCTATTTCCTTCGTCCTCTGGCTCTGGCTGCGTTTTTGGTTTTTCCCTCGGAGTTTCCCATTTCTTTGCAAACGGCAATGTCCCAACTTATTATCGTTATTATTGTGATAATCCTGAATCGGAAGTCGGATGCGACCTGCAAAAGCAGGACAGAAGACTCAGCGACGAGAGTGCGAAATGAAAAAACCCCAGCGTCAGAGAAAATGCAGGAGATATTCCAACAAGTTGCGTAGTTCCAAAAACTTCTGAGCAGCAATACTCCCATTCCGGAACCGACCGAGCAGGTGGGAGTCTAACGACGAGAGGGACCGGAAGTCGACCAGGGTCATCTTAGGATTGCGATGCTTCCAACTATATCCATGTACACGAAGTCATGGACATGAAGTCATTGGTCGTAACTCCCTGGACCGAAGGACACTTGTGAAAGTGCAATTATTAAGCGATTCGCATGCGACTTTGTTATGCCACCCGGATCGGCGTGGCGTCTTCTACGTGCGAGCCGAGAAAGTCACGAAGAAAATGTAAGCGTTTTCCGCGCCAAGGGTGGTTTATTAGACAGACACATGCGAAAGGGATACATTTGGAAGAGGAAAAGGATAAGAAAGGAATCGCGAAGACATAAAATGCGTTTTTTTTTCAGTTTAGTCACAGCAACACAGGTCGTAAATATATCTTTCAACCGCCACTTTTCCCTGAAGTTCACCTAATGCACCTCGAACTATTGAGTTCCCAACTGCAAAGTGACAAATCATGAATGAATTTAACAATTTTTGTCCGAGTCCCCCAGCAAATCGGAGCCATGCAGCTACGAATCGAATCTGAGACCTTGCAGATGACAGCCCAGGTCCCACCGACCAACGCTCGGAGGAAAATGTCTCACTTCATCGTGATTTTTATTCGCGAGAAGAGATAACCATCTAAAATGTCGGAGAGCGACGGGTGTCAGGAGCAAGTTTTTTTTTCTATTTCTACCTAACCGGAAGGTAAGAACCGGGGTTTCCTCACATCTCCGGTTTTCTCTCCTTTTAATAAAATATGTGCGTGAGTGGACCGAAACGATTTGGTTCCTAGTGCAACCGAGACAGACATCTAACATCCATTCAGGCCCATGCCAGCCAATGAAACCACAACGATGAATTTTTGCGCGCGACTGCCAGCGACCACATCCTTCGCATCC